GCTGGCAGCACCCTCAGCTCCTGCCTGGCACCTCTGCTCAGCAGGACCGTGGGTGGCAGTGGTGGATGAAAGCTCCAGCAAGGCCACTTCTGGCAGCCTCGGGAAGTTTGAACAGAACTGGTTAAACCAAGTTACTGGTTAAAAACTGGTTTAGTTTAACAAAACTGGTTAAATGTGTAAGAACCGAGGTGTGATGGAAATAAAAATCTGTGGCTGAGACATATCCCAGGGGCCATGGAGGGCACAGCAATGAGGGCTGAGGGCTGCAGCACCCTGCCAAGGGCTGCGAGGGGCTCAGGGGACAGAGGGGATCCCCAGCAGCTCTGCCACCCTGGCACCCACGGGGCTGGGCACTGCCATGGCCAGCAGGACACACTGGGTGCATGCCCAGCCTGCAGACACAGCCCCATGCCCACAGCCACAAACACCCCCGAGGGCCCCTGGCTGAGCCCCACGGCCCCCTGCCACCACCCCACACTACTGCAGCCAGGATTTAATGATGGAGCAGCTCCCTTTAATAAATGTTCATGTTCAAAGAATTTACACCAGCGCTTGCAGACAGCTAATGAGGGACATTTCCATGCATAAAAGCAGAGCGAACACAGTAATTAACTTTGTTGCTGATTCATTTTTAATCATTTAAATGCTCCAGAGATTTGCAGCGTCCTTTAAGTCAAGAGATTCTTTTCCAGAGGGCACACTGCCATTGCCCTTCACATGCACACACCTATGTGTGACTCTCACCCTCCTCCGTAACTGCTCAGCACTGGTGGAGGGCCTGGCAAAGGCCAATGCCAGCTCTGAGGGCAGTGGAGCTGGCAAAGAGCAGGAGATGAGGGAGGGCTCCTGCCCAGAGCCCAGCTCAGCCCTGCTGGGGACTGCCCTCTGCTCATGGACTGCCTGGAACTCACCCCTTCTCATTTCCAAGGCAACTCCTTCCACAGCTAAAACTCCAAAATGGAATACTCGTTTTTGAAACCTCTGCCTGCGCCCCAGCTGCTGCAGCAGTTCCCAATTCCCGTGTCAGAGCCATGGTGTCCTCCCTGTGCCAGCTGAGTGCAGATGGCACACGGACAGTACAACCAAGCACAAACGCCTCCAATGGCTCCTGGGGCTGCCCATCACCCCGAGGCCCTGTGGGCAGCTCTGGCCCTGCTCCCTGTGTGCTCAGCTCTGGGCACACACTGTGGGCACGGCCTGGCCCCACCATGGACACCCAGGGCCTGCTGGCCTTTCCTCACCAGCCTCCCAGGGCAGCCTGGCCCGTGGTGTGCCAGCTCACCAGCTGAGTGTGGTGCCTCCAAAGCAAGGTGAGAAAACTGCAGATTACAAGCAAGGTGAAGGAACGGAGCTGATATTCACGTCTTTAACACCAAAGGCGAGGCACCCACGGGAGCTCACCTCAGCATCTCCCCCAGCTCCCCAGACAGGGAAGCTCTCCTGGGCCGAGTGAGGGTCTGGCAGCACCTGGCACAGCCCGGGCAGGTCAGCAGGAGCTGTGCAGGAGCAGTGCAGGGCAGGGCAGTGCCCAGGGAACGCTGCCCACACAGCCTCATGCAGCACTATGTGCCACGGTTCCAGGCACATTCCCCAGAGCCAGGGCACTCTCTGAAGTCAAGGAAATTTCAAAGCATCCTTGAAGCTGCTGCCTTCCTCTCGTCTCACTAATTAACTTCACCCAAATGCACTGTCAGTAAAGCCCACAGCTATGTCCCGGACAAAGCCTAATGGGCTCCCATTTGTGCGTGTGCCAGCCCGGCCATTAGCCGGCAGCAATTAGCAGTGGCCGGGAGCAATTAGCGTCTGCCGGCTCCGTGCTCGCCGTGCCACAGCCCCGGGGGCTCGGGGAC